AAAAACTCGATTATCCAGTCCACCAATGTTATTATTCTCTATTGTCCAAATATGTTTCACGTATAATTAACCGAGTCTAGGGCAACCTATATGCAAAATGATTTATTGTAGAAGTGAATAAAAATATAATGTAGCATGTGTCACTCACTGCTTGGTCCGGATAATCGAGGTTCTACTGTACAGTCAAAAACAAATGTTATTGATTATCTCTGATACCAGTAATAACGAAACGAAAGATAAAGAATAAATTTTTATGCCGCTTTTAGGACCCAAATACTCCACGATGCGATGTCACAGAACGAAGAGAGACTCTCTATCTTGCCATCAAAGAGTCTCTCTTCCTCATCTCACGCCTACTCTATCATTTACTTGAAATCATTAGGTTTATTATGAATGTATCCGGCACTGTATCCGGAATGTATCAATACCTTGACTAAAGTCCGCATAATATCGAATAGAGAATACGTACAGTAAAACTAATTCAATTTTTGTTTTAAATCGTATTTAATACTGATCGATCGTGTCTAAACCGAACACGTTTAAAAGACTCGACGTTTTTTAAGTAAGATAGACAGATAGATTGATAAAGAGAGAGAGAGAGAGAGAGAGAGAGAGAGAGAAAGAGAGAGAGAGAGGAAAAGTATGGTTCGAATCGATGCAATGTTGATCGGGAATCATATAAATGTGATTCCTCACTTTCTTCTTCACTTTCGATCCGGTAAAGACGTATCGAAAATATAATAATTACGCGACGCGCTGAAGATATGGTAAAGGTTCCCTCCATTTACACAGCAATCGTGGATACGCCTACATGTATCTCAGTAATTCTTACGCAAACCCACAACACAACACATTTACACTCAAGAACGCACACGTACGATTCGTATTCGTGCAATCGATTATCCTTATAATTACAATCAGATTATTAAAAGATCACTAAATTAGTAAGGCGAGAAACTCACGAGATTCTACGGAAAAATACGGTTTTCACAGTTGCTCGAGAACTATCGCTTTAACCGAGGATACACACCGTACTAACAAATGTACGCGAAAAAACGTTCGAACAATTTATTCGGCCCCTGCTAACACAACCATTTATCGGTTGGCACATTGTCGACCAACAGACTGCGAATTTGGTTCTTCAAAATGAAAGTGTTCTTCGTCGATTGCAACAGAGAGACCAGACAGAAATCGCATACTCTTTCATTAATAATTTTAATGAATATTTTGCTTTATCTTAAGAGTTTTACTTACTCGTTTTTATCGTGAGTGCATAAAATCCGCAGTCTATTGACGAGTTTTTGTATAAATAGGAATCATGCTTTCTGCTAATTGAAAGTAGAATTAATATTAATAATTTTGAATTATTGTATTCCGTAACCATCCACGTGTAACTGCCGATGCATAGTTTCATTGATTTACACATAAAATATATATGAATTAACGTAACGCAATCGTAAACGTTCAAACATATCGTTCATTTGTATCTTATTACTTGCCGGTCGCATGTATGTATATATATATATATATTTATGTATGTGCTTCTATTTACAGTTGGATCGATTAACGTAGACACTTATCAACGCTCGTTAATTAGTCCGAATAGTGGATGGAATGAGAGTATTGTCAATTAAAAATTAGGATAGCTCGGATCTCCGCGAGATTCCGAGTTTATGTTCAGTTTTCCACTATTCTTTTTTTAAAAGGATCATCTACAGCGTAAACGTGTCCTCGGACACCGTGTAACTGTACGTTTATCACCTCATCTCCGAAAATCAGAGAAAATAAAAAGAATGAAATGTCTTGACAATGTCTTATACGAATCAATTTATTCATATCTTGCAAGAGGTTTATTGGAATATATCTGTATATCTTTTTAGATGATTATTTTATATAGTTCGTAAGATCCGAAGCATCAAGCCATGCTATAAGCAAAGTTATTGCGATGTGCTTGTATTGAAATACCTATACACTGAAATTCAAAAATTCATTTAGTGTACTAGCATTATATGTATATACTGTGCTTAAGATTCTATTATGTCTTGTTAAGAATTTCGAGACGAAACGCATTAGAAACGACAATCGATGAACAATACCCGTAACGTAAGAGATTAAGGGACAAGCACATACAATAAACTTTCAATAGCTAGATTGTAGGAAAATATGTTTTCGAAGTTTGTCTATAATAAAGCACAATTATCCGAAAGATTGTAAAGTCTTAGACATGGAATACATTCTACGCTCGTTATAAAGGCCACTTAAAAAGACAGGATTTAGGCTTTTGCACGTGTACAACCGAGTGCTCGTAAATCATTGTTGATAAATAGAATGCAAGATATTATTCATACTCGTATCTGATGAATGAAAGAAAAGTTGCAAATATGTTTGTTGTTCATTTCTTTCGTATGCAGTAAAACGTACGATCCATATTTATTTTCATCTATATGAATAAACGAAGAATAATTTTTGAATCAGTGGCTGAACAGATCGAGACTAAAGTTTATTTAATAGATGAAACGCTTATCGTTAGATATTTAGTTTCTTAATTAGTGTTTATGATGTCACACATAGGCAGACGAAGTCTTGATATAATCTTAGATCATTTGCATATAATTTCAAGAGATTTTTTAGTCTGTTATAAATAATTTGTATTATTCAAAATTAATTTTGTTCCTTAGCTATTTGTAGTTTACTTTACCATTAGTCGAAGTACAGTAAAGACTAATCTCTTTCGCTTTATCAAGTTATAAAGACTTGTTTTATGTCCAGTACCATTAAAGCTTAGGAAGTGTATGTGATAACGTTATACATTAAATAATGTATATTTTTCACAGATTTCTTTCATGTAAAATTTACCATTATCCATCCGAGATTATACACGTCATGGCACGTAAATTTTACTATCTGCATTATGTTTATTGGTGTCTGCCATTATTAAATACGTATCGTAGGTACTGCAATTAACGTATTTCCGCTTATTTGGGATGATGTATACATGTATGCTACATTTGTCCTAAAGATGACAAATGTAGCAGATCTGAGCATATACTTTGAGTATTTTTCAAAATATTTCACATTTCCACAATGTTCGAATGTATGTACCAAAGACAGTTCAAAGTACTTTAAANCGTAGGTACTGCAATTAACGTATTTCCGCTTATTTGGGATGATGTATACATGTATGCTACATTTGTCCTAAAGATGACAAATGTAGCAGATCTGAGCATATACTTTGAGTATTTTTCAAAATATTTCACATTTCCACAATGTTCGAATGTATGTACCAAAGACAGTTCAAAGTACTTTAAA